CGGTGACTTTTACTCAAAATATCGACGAAATATGTAAATTTTTCTGTAGAATTCATTAAAAACTGAAATTTACGTCATGTTTGTGACATCATTACGTACATATGACGTCATTACTTATGAAAATATTCAGTGCTTTGAAGTCAACACATACCCCCCTATTTAAGAACTTAATTAAATATACCTCCATCAAAGTTTGATTTTGGGGGCAAATATTGGTTATTACCGAATAAAGTTCTTTACAAAATATAAATTGTAGGAATGTGTCGTTTTACCTTAACTTGCCCAAATTTATGCTAGTTTGTGCCAGCATTTCGAATTGTTATTATAAGCTAATGAATGCTTGCAGTATAACTGATTTCCAGTAACCGATGAACGGATTTATTTTAATACCCCCCCCCCACTTTTTCCCCCAACATTACCTTTACTATAGTAAATGTTCATTGAACACCCCCCCCCCCCCCCCCCAACGAAATAGGATTTTGGAGTTTGGCAAACTTTTAATTTTCGTTTTTTTTTCTTTTTCTTTTTTTTTTTTGCTTGTCAACTTTTTCAGGTAAGTAAAAAAAAAAATTCTCTGCTTGGCCCCCCCACTTTCAAAAACGATGCTACGTGGCTACTTATATGATTAACCTTTTCATTTTATTTTCTTTTTGATGAAAAGGGTATTTTTACGTCCTCTGAAAAGGTTTTTTAAGAAGATTTATTCGTGCCGCTGGATTTAATAAATACAAATCTATAGTGGTTTTTATAAACAATTCATGATGTCTTGCAGCGTCATTGAATGAGCTATGGAAATAATTAATAGTATTTAAGTTCAAGGTCTATTTAGACAGTACAAATCGAAAGCAGACAAAACATTGACCTCGAATACTATTAATACGTTGACAATGTTAATTTATTTTAGTAGTAAAGGTAAAATTATTGAAAATTTGGTATTATATTATCAAATTCCTCTTCCATTAGGAAAGGGATTGTTTCGTTATAGTATTTTACATTTTTAGCTCACCTCAACGAAGTTGGGGGGAGCTTATGTGATACCCTCGGCGTCGGTGTCGGCGTTGGCGTCCCGGGTTAAGGTTAAGTTTTTTGGAGCAGTTTTCTTTTCAAGTACTTCTTTGTCCTATATTGAATAGACATGCATGGAAGATGTTTCTAATGTGTTTCACTGTACCAGTCAAAGTTTCAGATGCTGCAATTTCAGCAAAGAAATGACCATGTTAATGTTTTTGGTGCAGGTTAACATTTTTGGTGCAGTTTTTGGTATAGGTCTCATTTCCGAGTAACTATAAGCCCTATGTTGACCAAACTTACATGGATGGTAATCTTAGGATGGTTAATTGTGTACCAGACTTGCTTCGGATGCTGAATCTGACCTACATTTTCCGGTTGAGTGAACAGGTTAAAGTTTTTGGTGCAGGTTTCATTTCGAAAGGTTTTAAACAATTTTATCTTAAAAAGCTAATACATATAATGACCAAACTTGCATGGATGGTACATCTTAGGATGCATTCTACTAGACTTGCTTCGGATGCTGAATCTGACCTACATTTTCCGGTTGAGTGAACAGGTTAAAGTTTTTGGTCAAAAAGGTTTCATTTCCAAGTTACATCAAAAGACATAATGACCAAACTTGCATGGATGGTACATCTTAGGATGCATACTACTAGTATTGCTTCGGATGCTGAATCTGACCTACATTTTCCGGTTGAGTGAACAGGTTAAAATTTTTGGTGCAGGTTTCATTTCCAAGGTACTATGAACCATATAATGACTAAACTTGCCTGGATGGTACATCTTAGGATGCATACCACCAAACTTGCTTCGGATGCTGAATCTGACCTACATTTTCCAGTTGAGTGAACAGGTTAAAGTTTATGGTGCAGGATTCATTTCCAAGTAACTTTGAGCCCTATAATGACCAAACTTGCATGGATGGTACATCTAAGGGTGCATTCTACTAGGCTGACTTCAGAAGCTGAATCTGATAAAAGGTATGGCCAACATTTTCCGGATTAGTGAAAAGGTTAGTTTTTTTATACAGGTTTCATTTCCAAGTAACTTTGAGCTCTATGTTGAACAAACTTGCATGGATGATACATCTTAGTATGCACACTAATGGACTTGCTTCAGATGCTGAATTCGACATACATTTTCCAGATAATAGACCTCGTAAAAGTTATATATACAGGTCTATCACCAAGAAACTATAAGGCTTATATAAACCAAAGTTGCACAAATGATGCATCAAGGGATGAAAACTCTCAATCTTGCTTCAGATACTGGATTTTAATGACATTTTCATGATGAAGAACTAGTTTTAAGTTTTTATATAGGTATATTCCAAAGTATCAAAATTGCATAAATTTTGCATTTTTGAATGTACACTTTTTGTTAGTTAATTGTGTGACTTAACTTGCCTTACTTAAAGACAACATTCGTTGAGGTGAGCTCTGTAATCTCTGATTACCTATGTTTCTTTTCCGCGGTAAATGAATTTAGT